CCAGGAATGAGGGGGGGACCCCCAAAATACAGAGGGGTCGGGGGGGGACCCAAAAATCCAGAGGGAAAAGGACAGAGAAACCCCAAAAAACCAAAAAGAGTGGGGGTAGCAGGAGTTCAGGGAGAGGAAAAGGAGAGGGTTTGGGGGTAATTCTGGGGGGTTTTAGGGTTCTTAAGGGGCAGGTTTCGGGGGGGGGGTGGTTTTTGGGGATCCCAGGGCGGGTTTTGGGGGTCTCGCCCATGATCGTGGAGGCCCCGAGGACGAGGGAGAGGTTGGAGGTGATGAAGGACTCGGTGGGTGGGTTTTGGGGTGGTTTTTGGGGTCCCTGAGGGGCAGGGTTTGGGGGTTGTTTTTGGGGGTCCCAGGGAGGGTTTTGGGGGGTGGATTTTGGGGGTCCCAGGGCAGGTTCTGGGGGGTCTCACCCATGATCTTGGCGGCCGTGGAGGCCCCGAGGATGAGGGAGAGGTTGGGGGCGATGAAGGACATCCGGGACTCCACGTACTCGTAGATGCGGAGCTTGGCCCCGCTCAGGGCCAGGGCCATGTCACAGGCGTCCTCGATCCGGCTCAGCTCCTCCTCCGACAGCTGCTGCCTGGGATCGGGGAAAAAACAGCAGTAAGATTTAGGGGAGATTCCCCCCCCAACCCACCCTGGGACCCCCAAACCCGCGGGAAAGGCTCCCAAGGGCACAAAATGGTCTTAAAATGGTCCCAAAATGGACCAAGGGGGGCTACAAACATCCTCCTAAAATGAAGCAGAACGCCCAAAACAGCTTCCCCGCAAAAAAAAAACAGGCTTCGCACCCCATAAACTTTTTTTTAGGAACCCTCCCAGCACCCTCAAAGACACCCCTCCAGGGTGAGAAATGTGAGAAAAAATGGTGGGAAATGTGAGGGGAAAAGTGAGGGGAAAACGGAAGGAAATGTGAGGGGGAAAGGCGGGAAACATGAAGGGACAAAATGGTGGGAAACGTGAGGGGAAAAAAGAGGGAACGGTGAGGGGAAAAGGGCGGGAAATGTGAGGGGAAAATGGTGGGAAATGTGAGGGGAAAAGGGAGGGAAATGTGAGGGGAAAAGGGAGGGAAACATGAGGGGAAAAGGGCGGGAAAGGTGAGAGGACAAAATGGCGGGAAATGTGAGGGGGGAAATGTGAGGGGAAAAGGGTGGGAAATGTGAGAGGAAAAGGGTGGGAAATGTGAGTGGAAAAGTGTGGGAAATGTGAGGGGAAAAGGGTGGGAAATTC